GGGGACAGAGGAATGAGGTTGATATTGGTCAGCAAAGAAGAGTTGCAATTTTGCTTTGATGAAGTGCTTTAAGATGTATTTATGTTGCATACATTATAAAAATAAAAGTGTCTGGCATAAGTGTTAAATTGAGAAGACATTGCAAAAAATGCTTATAAAATATATTTATTTCCCAAGATATTTCAATTTTTTTGTATGTTTCTCCTAAATTTTCTAGTTGGTCTCCATTCATTGCTGTCTTGCAGATGAAGGATTTCTGCTTTTTTCTTCTTCATTGGGGACTACTATGTAATTTAAGGATTCCCCCCCAATGCTTCTCTTCTTCATAAATTTTATCTTATGGTTATTTAGCACCAGTAAATTATCTAAGAAAAAATGATTAGTTAAATATAACTATAGAGTACCTAATTTTTTTTTTTTTTTTAGAAAAAGATGGCAAAGCAAAATCATTAAACAAAACTAGCTGCGCATTCACAGAAAGTACCTATCTGGGGAAACCTAACATTACCTCTGAAGTTCTTATTGTGTTACAGCTTCTACTCACATTTTCTCATAGTCCCACAAGCAAACACCATTTTTGCTTAACAATCTGTCCCCACCACCTATTAACATACCTGAAATAAAAACATATGTTGAATTAATGCATTATTTCAATCCAGAAAAGATAAGTTAGAGTTGGAAAGCATAGTCTGCAGAGACACGTACAGTGTGAGACGAAATCTGGACTTGGAATCAAAAGATTTGGGGTATAACTACCCAGGATTTGCTCGAAAACAAGCTGTGTGACATGGGCTAGTCTCTGAGTAACTCAAAAATAAGTTTCCTCCTCCATTAAATGAGGGATTTGGCATAGAATCATCTCTAAAATTCTCTTTAGTTTGGAACTTTATTAAGGATTATATTCTCTCAGATATGTATATTGTTTATAATAAGCTACCTATCCCATTGTGTTGGCGGTAACAAAGAACAACAAATTAAAGTGTCACAGTCTCCTCCAATCATAATAACGTATGTGTGCTCATATTGCATAATGCTAATGCCCATGCATGCGCTGGTTCAAGTTTCAATGACTATAATAACCACTTTGTGTCCTTTACTGGTCATGGATGGTAAAGCCTGAATATTCTTTAGGAGAGGGGTCGAACATACCTATTTTTGTGAAGATGCAGGGGGAAGGGACCAAGTGCCGTGGCTCACCTCTGTAATCCAGCACTCTGGGAGGCTGAGGTGGGTGGATTGCCTGAGCTCACAGGTGTGAAACCAGCCTGAGCCAGAGTGAGACCTCATCTCTAAAAAAATGGAGACTTTACATCCTTCATGTTCACATGGATGGAGCTGGAAAATGTTCTTCTGAGCAAAGTATCACAAGAATGGAAGAAAAAGTATCCAATGTACACACCCCTATTATGAAACTAATTTATACCTTTTATATGTAAGCTATAACCTAATAACAGCCTAAGAATATGGGGAGGAGGAGGGAGGGGGAATGGGTGGAGGGAGGAGGATTGGAGGGATCACTTCTGTGGTTTATCTTACAAGGGTACAAGTGAACCTTTCTAAGAGTAGAATATGAACGTTTTGGCACAATAACTAGGTAAATGACATAAAGGCTATGTTAACCAGTTTGATGAAATGTTTCAAATTGTATGTGAAAACACCACACTGTACCCCAGAAGTGCATTAATATACATAGTTACCATTCAATAAAAAAAAAAAAATAGCTGGGCATTGTGGTGGGAGCCTGTAGTCCCAAGTACTTGGGAGGTTGAAGCAAGAGAATTGCTTAAGCCCAAGAGCTTGAGGTTGCTGTGAGCTGTGACACCACAGCACTCTACCAAGGGTGACAAAGTGAGACTCTGTCTCCAAAAAATAAAAAATTAAAATTAAAAAAATATGCGGGGGGAGGGACAGGAGTAACTGCTAACAAGTACTTTCTCATTTAAGAATTATATACAATTGTACTTGCCTTTAACTAGATAAATAAATGATCTTTAACAAGTACATGATTGAACATAGCACACTGTTAGTAGCTGGAACTAAATAGATGACACCTCCAGATCCTTTGAACTGAAAATCTGTAATTCTTGGAAATAGCAATAATCAATTATCTGTAAATATGTGCGTTTATTTTGGATTAATGTGACTGTTTTTATGCCAATACCAAACTGCTTTGATTACAGTTCTTTTATAATGTGTTTTAAAGACAGAGAATGTGGTATCCCCAGCTTCGTTCTTTCTGCTCAAGATTGTTTTGGCTATTCCGAGTCTTTTGTGGTTCTACACAGACTTAAGTGTTCTTTTCCTTATGTCTGTGAAAAGTGATACTGGAATTTTGGTAGATATTGCATTGAGTCTCTCAATTACACCTTTTTTTTTTTAGAGACAGAGTCTTACTTTGTCACCCTCAGTAGAGTGCTGTGGCATCACAGCTCATAGCAACCTCAAGCTCTTGGGCTTAGGTGATTCTCTTGCCTCAGTCTCCCTAGTAGCACCCGCCACAATGCCTGGCTTTTTTTTGTTGCAGTTTGTCAAGGGCCAGGTTTGAACCCATCACCCTCAGTATATGGGTCCTGCGCCCTCCTCACTGAGCCACAGGAGCTGCCCCACTTCTTTTTTTTTTTTTTTTTTTCCTAGTGATTGGTTTTCCTTCATTGCTTTTTTTCTTTTTGATTTTAGAATATTACAGAGGCACATGCTTTGGTTACATAATTTGCTTTTGTCCTTTGAGTCAAGGTCACAAGTGTGCTCTTCACCCAAAATGTGTGAATTTTACCAGTTATGTGTGAATTAACCCAACCCCTTCTCCCCCTCCTAACTACTTGCATCCCACTGTGTTGACCCTATGTGCACACAAGCATTGATTGGTTCCAATTTAGTACAGAGTACCTGTGGTGTCTGTTTTTCCATTCTTGCCATACTTCACTTAGAATGGGATCCAGCTCCAACCACATTGTTATAAAGGTGCTAGATCATCTTTTTTTATGGCAGAGTAGTCCTCCATGCTATACATATATTCTGTTAATCTACTGGTGTTTTGGTAATTTACATGTTTTTGTTTCTTTTGAAATAAACAATGGCAGTTATAAGATAATTAAAGACTTAGGGACCAACCAAAGGTGATTTTACTGTCACATTATTTTGTCACCCACAGTACATAATATTCAATCTGAGATTTTTTAGATGTCTCAGGACTTTTGGATCTCCCACTTTGGCTTTTGGAGACAAGGAAGCACAAAAGAGTTATCCAGAATCTGACAGTGGGGAAAGGGAGTTGACCCCTTGACTTCTTTACAACTACTCTTAGGACAGAAATGAATTCTCCATTTGCTCTTTTGATACAGATTCAGCATGCAGATAATCAAGAAATGCATAAAATCATAAACAAAATCCCCGCAGTAGCTTTGTAAGCATTCCAGGTTTTATTTGTTGCGATTTGTAAAATTAATCCATGGGGAAAGATCACACAGATTTGGTATGATTTAAGTACTACAGACGTGAGTCTCAGTTTGCTAATCTCCTTCGTGTTCTAGAAGCTTGGAAAAAAGATTCTCTCTTGTTCTATTTATTAGAAAGCTTCAGACCCATATAATTAATTTAATCAGCATTCTCCCAGAATAATTATCAATATTTCATTTTAACTTTGTATCAAATTATGAAATTGTCCATTCACTGAGATCTTGGGAATCACACAAATCCTGACTGTCCTGCTTCCCTGTTGTGTGATCATGAAAAAGTTAAATCATTTCACCTTCAGGATGGAATCTGCAAAGGTAAGTATAATAACTTACCTAATGAATGGATTCGTTGGGAGAAGTTAAGTACAATGAGCACTCAACGTCTGACACACTATGAGTGCTCAGTAAACGTTAAACCAGTGACAAATCGGTGAGTTATTTTCCAAATGTCCCTGAGAGGTCTCCTAGAAAAAAAGGCTTATTGCGGTGAATGGTAAGGAACTATTAATGAACCCACAAAAGGGATTCACTGGTTGCTCACCGCATAGGAAGCCAATTCTGAGACAAGGAAGATTGTCAAGGAAAAAAGGTTTATTTCAGAGGATGTGCCAACTAGGGTGGAGGGAGGCACAGGCTACCTCAAATCCACCTCCCAGGTTAGGAGGGTTAAGGGGGTGTTAAGGAGGTGAAAATGAATAATGCATAAAGGGAGTGTTGTATTCCTTGTATGTTTAAGTGGAGTGCAGGACTGGAAAGCACAGTGGAGAATCATGCTAATTCATACATCCCATGAACAAATGGTGGGCAAATCCCTCCCCAGGGTGGGGATTTTACTATTATAATGAGCTAGGGGTTATTATTCATTCAGCCTTGTGCGCAAGCTCAGTGGCTCTTGGTCACAGTCTGTGGTGGCATATCCCTTATCTTGACTTTCTCCCGAAATTCTGGTAGAGTAAGGCACTGTATTTATCTCAAGGCCGTAGGGAGGTTCTGCTGCTTTCTGGGGGAAACTCAAATTGTATCAGTGTACAGAAAATTACAAAGTTCTGTTCAGCAGTTTGTACTGAGACCTCTCTGTCTCTTCTCTGCCTTTTCTAAGCTGCCTTTGCAAGGCCACTGGAGCTAAGACTCACTGTTTCACCCCTGTCCAGTCAAGGCCATTTAGCTGGCTGCTTCAGTTCTGATGTGAACATTAGAAACTCCTTTGGAATATGAGTGAACTAGAGAATTGCAGCTCTCAATTCTCACTAGAGAATTGTAACATTTTGTCATGAAACCGGTCACAGAACCAACTTGCTATGCAAACTCCAAGTTTTAATAATTCTATCTCCAGAGAAAAATGGCCGCTCTGCCACCCAGGTCTAGGGAGAATCCCGGGGTTGGGAGGACAATCCTAGACCGCCAATGGGAGCTCCTGGGCGTGGCTGGGCAGATCCGGAAGTTGACCCGCCCGCACCAGCGCCGGAACCCAAGCCCTAAGGCTCCAGTTTCTTCCGCTTCCGTGGGGCGTCTGTGCGGAGTGGACCTGCGTGAACACAGCTTCCGGCCGACTGAGCGGTTCTTTGAGCTGATTCTAGCGAGGCTTAGTTTCGGCGTGGACGAAATAGCTGTGGTGTTTGTAGGGACCCTGGCGTGGCCGGACGCGCCTGGCTATGTGGAGGCTGCTTGCTCGCACCAGTTCGTCGCTCCTGCGGGTGCCTTTGTCAGGTTAGAAGTCCCTTTGGGGCTCTAAAAAAAGACTTTACCCTTTTCCTCCCGGCCCTCCAGTGTCCAAAGACGACTCTGCATATACTTGCTGAAGCGCTGGCTTGAGGCTTCTCTATGCCACAGCCCCTCCACCATTCGTGCAAAAGGGTCACGGCCTGATGTGGGGGTTGCTGCCCAGGGACCCTGCCGGCCTCTTCAGGGGGGCCTGCGCCTGTGAGCCCATAAAAAGTCTCCGTCAGGATTTAAATACCTTTTGCCAGGTTGTACCAGGCCCCGGTTTAACGTGATTTGTCTTTGTAGATTCTTGGGCAGCCCTGCCCGCCAGCGCTGGCATAAAGACGCTGCTCCCAGTGCCATCTTATGAAGGTGAGAGCTTATCTTTTTCCTTTCTAAAGTTTTTTTCCTGATGGAATTTAGCAGAGAGTAGGAGAAGTCATAGGAGTGTTCTTGGGATTCATATATCCCCATTCATTCCTTAATTAAAAATGTATTGAGCGCCTACTATATTGCCAAGCATTGTTCTGAACAATGAGATAAATAAAAGGTCCCTGCTTTTATGGAGCGAATGTGTAATAGAATAGGTTCTCTAAGGCCTATCACAGGTTATGGCCCATAGTCCACTGGGCCAGGGCTAATTGGCCTCAAATCTGGACTTTAGATGTTCTCTCCAAATAACGTTACATATATGCAGCCATTTAACATTATTGAAAAGAATTAATTTGTTAAATATAGATTTAAGATAAGCAACACTTTTGTACACCTAATTTACCATTTTTTAAAATATACTGAAAATGTCAAAAAATGAATGGGGCCTGGACATCTGTCTTCTACCTATAGTTGTTAAGCCACTGTATTTTCTGGAAGTTGATTTTGACTTGTAGGTGAAAGAAAGCATGACTCTGTGGCTGCATATAGAAGTGCAGGGAAGGGGAGACAGTTTCTGAACTGTGGTAGTGATAGTAATAAATTTGATTTTTTTGTTTGTTTGTTTTATATTTGTCTCCATCATAAAGCCATGCTCGTGTCACTATAGAAATTTTTAGTGGGCTTACAAGTTAATTTTTTCCCCTAATTGTCAAGTAAAGATCATAAAGATGTCACGTGTCTGGCCTGAAGAAGAAAAAGCATTGATCAAAGGACTCATAGGTTGTAAGTTTCTCAACAAGAATGTGATAGAACTGGAGAATTTATTTCACGTACAAATAGTCTTCCCACTACCCTCATTAATATTCAGAGAGGCAGTGATGTATTTTTTTTTAAGTGTCATGCTGTCTGTTTTTACTGTTTAAGTTGATGGCACCCTAAACCAAATTATAAAATGTTTCAAGGCCTCAGGTTCCTCTTCTATAATATGGAGGTTAAAAATATTATTTGCCTAATATTCTGCTGCTTGGCATGGGCAATAGTGATGTACGTTAATGCATTCACTTTCTGATAATTCACTGATCTGTATATTTTTTATTTGATTCTTATTTTATGTGAATTAGACTTTTAAAAGTTGAAAAATTATAAAAAGCCCTTAAAAAAAAAAAGCCTAGAAGGTTGTCTTAAAGATTAAATGCAATAATGATATCCAAACACCTGTTATAATATTGAGCACAAAGTCAGTGATTAGTAAATACATTTTGATTCAAAGTTAAAACTTTACTACCTTCTAAGGTTTAGAAACATTTGCATTAACCATTGTCATAGCCAAAAAAATTCCAGTGCACTAAAAGCATCCACAAGAATAATGTACCTTTGGGCCAGGCACAGTGGCTCACACTTGTAATCTTAGCACTTGGGAGGCCAAGGCGGAGGATTACTTGAGCAAGAGTGAGATGCCATCTCTACTAAAAGTAAAAAATTAGCCAGGTGCCCTTTTGGGTGCCTGTAGTCCCAGCTACTTGGGAGGTTGAGGGAGGAGGATCACTTGAGCCCAGGAGTTTGAGGTTATTGTGAGCTAGGCTGATGCCATAGCATTCTGGCCTGTGCAACAGAAGCAGACTGTGTCCAAAAAAAAAATATATATATATATATGCCTTTGCAACTTTTCAGGGGTGACTTTAAGCATTTCACCTGATTGTTTTCTTTCTAAGAAAGTGGGTCCTTTGAGCTTGTTGTTTTACTTATTCTTGATTGTCTGTGCTCCTTTTAGATGTTTCTATTCCTGAAAAGCCCAAGCTTAAATTTGTTGAAAGGGTACCACTTGTGCCAAAAGTAAGACGAGAACCTAAAAACTTGAGTGACATACGAGGACCTTCCGCTGAAGCTACTGAGTTCACAGAAGGCAATTTTGCAATCTTGGTGAGTTTAACATCAAGCAACTACAAGGTGGAAGCTAGGGATTAACAAATCTCATACTCTTTGAGTTAATTCTAGTCTGTTCCTCTACAGTTCTTATTAGAACTGCCATCAGTGCTGTTTAAACTGATGTGGGCCAGGTGTGGTCGCTCAAACCTATAATCCTAGCACTTTGGAGGGCCCAGATAGGAGGATAGCTTGAGGTCAGGCGTTCAAGGTCTGAGCAACATAGAGAAACCCCCATCTCTACAAAAAATAGAACAATTAGCTGGATGTGGTGTTGCACACCTGTAGTCCTAGCTACTCAAGAGGCTGAGGCAGGAGGATTGCTTGGGCCCAAGAGTTCAAGGTTGTAGTGAGCTATGAGGTTTAGCCAAGGCAACAGAACCCAATCTCACAAAATAAAATAAATAAACATGCAGAGAGGATACTGAGTATCCAGTAAATATTTGAGTTTTTCTATATATAAAGTAGAGTAAAGTAATGTTAAAGCAGGAGAAGGAAGAAGCTACCTAATTTGTCCTATAATTAGACCCTGAGATCTTTTTAAGCCTCTGGTAAAACTATCCATGACTTAGGATGTGGCCATCCTAAGTTAGTTAAGTAGCATCCATGAAGGCTACATACATGGGTGTGCACTATGATTTATTTTCCATCAGGTAGTCCAAGTGATAATTCTAAAGTCCTCTTCACACAACCTCCATGATCAGCTGCTGCTGACCTCAGAACCTCATGCCCACTTTCCCCTTCCTTTCTTTACTCTAGCCACACTGGCTTCTACTCACCTCGTCAGTCCTCTGCTGTGTCAGGGCTTCCACATAAGCCCTTCCTCTATCTGGAACACATCAGCTCCTTCCCCTTGACTAGTCCTTATTCTGGCCTCAGCCTTAAATATCACTTCAAAGAGGCCTTCCCTGACGTTCCACCGAAGTCAGTCTATCCTCCCTCCCCTTTATTTCTGTACCCCTAGACTTTTCCTCCATGGTACTTCCTACAACGTACATATTTATTTTCAAGTAAAGTAAATGAGTGTAAAGCCACAGTTACTGTAAAAGAAGAGACATAGTAGAGCCCATAAGCAATGTCTACATCCCCATGTGTTCCTAATTCTCTCATTCACTTTTAGGCACTGGGTGGTGGTTACCTCCATTGGGGCCATTTTGAGATGATGCGCCTGACAATTAACCGCTCTTTGGACCCCAAGAACATGTTTGCCATATGGCGAGTACCAGCCCCCTTCAAGCCCATAACCCGCAAAAGTGTTGGACAGCGCATGGGGGGAGGCAAAGGTGCCATCGATCACTACGTGACGCCCGTGAAGGCTGGCCGCCTTGTAGTGGAGTTGGGTGGCCGTTGTGAATTCAAAGAGGTACAAGGTTTCCTTGACCAGGTTGCTCACAAGTTGCCCTTCCCAGCAAAGGCTGTGAGCCGAGAAACTCTAGAGGAGATGCGGAAACAGCAAGAGGAACGAGAACGTAACAACCAAAACCCCTGGACCTTTGAGCGCATAGCCACTGCCAACATGCTAGGGATACGGAAAGTACTGAGCCCCTATGACCTGACCCAGAAGGGACGATACTGGGGCAAGTTCTACATGCCCAAACGTGTGTAGTGAGTGTAAGAAATAAAAGGTACGTAGACCATTGAAAGAATCTGTACTTTTATTCCTCTCAGACTACCTTTAAAGTGTTTGGGTAGGTAGCTCTTACATGCTAAGGAAATCGATCTGTGAGCAGGTAGCTCTTACACAAGTAGGAAAAAACCCTGTACATTAAGTAAAATTTAAACATCACCTCAGGATATAGCTTCTCATTGGTTATTCTTAATCCTTTAAAAGATTAAGAAATAAACCTAGATGACTAGTAAGAGCTCTTAGATCTGTGGGCATATAAGATGAACATCTTCCAGACTGAAGCACATGTGTACATTTTCACCTACAATGCAACTCTGACTTAAGGTCTGTAATGCCTGTTAGATGTACACCCCTAGGGAGCTAGTTTCTGTGACACTTTACACACTTTTAGAATAACAAAAACAATGACACAAGTACATAGGGTAATTGATTCAATGTATTTTTATTGATGCCCAGCTACCCATCTTCTCTCAAGGCTGGAAGGGGAGACAGTGGACAATATGGTAAGGAATATACCTTTGCCTTTTAGCAAAAGATGATAAAAGTTAAAGCTGTGTGGCCTTTCCTAGGTCTAAAATTCTCCAAGGAGGGAGAATGTTTGACGCTGTCTCTGTGTCCCTGCAGAATCTAGTACAGTACCATGCAGCACACATGCTATCACTGCCAGATGGATTGGGGCTTCATGTGAGTCAGATCCCCATGGTTTCAGCTCCCCTCCCTGATGGCCTTTAACAAGATTAATCTGTTTTTCAGAGCTATGGTCATCTATCCCCTGTTCAAACTAAAGGAAACACAAATTGATAGAAATATTAAACCATCTGATTTTCGATGTAGGTAGAAAACACCACACTGACCAAAATGTTTTTGTTTTTTTTTTAATCATACTTCCTTAAAAAGGTATCCAGCAAAGACATAAGAATTTGGTTTACTTTCAAAAGTATAAACTTAACAGTTGTGTGGTCCTCAGAAGTTGTATACCAGGGGTCCTCAAACTTTTTAAACGGGGCCAGTTCACCGTCCCGCAGACCGTTGGAGGGCCGGACTGCAGGCCCTGGGATGAGTCACCTACTAAGCAGGACAGGCAGCTGTGGCAAAAATACACAGGGGGCCACATAAATGTCCTAGGCGGGCCCATGTGGCCTGCAGGCCATAGTTTGAGGACACCTGTTGTACACTGTTGATTTTTAATGTATTTTTAGTGAACTTCTTGTTAGTAATCACTAAATAAATTAACTTGCATTTGAACTCATCCACATAGCTAGTTTTAAAGCTGAATACAACTGAACTTTGAATTGGGGGTGGTGTTTATGATGGTTTCTCGCACTTACATAGGCTGGCCAGCATTTGTGCTAGCAACACAGATGAGGTGAGAAGTGAAGTAAGCGATAGCCTTAGTTCACCTTTCTCACCTAGTGCTCTGTTCTTTCTTGGGGTTCACGAAGTGTTCCACTTAGGAATTCAATTATAGCATAAACCTCTTTTGGGATGTGTATTTAGTTACTGAACCACAATCCTGGGACCAGCCATCACAGTGAGATGTTGTGGGTAAGAGAACTCCACCATCACCACCCACAGAAAAAGCACTTTAAAGTGTATGTTGTGGTAATGGGGGTCTGATGTTGCATTTTCGCCAAAGTGTATCAGCCCTTATCAGCCTCACAGTAGCAAATTGTGTCCCAGTAATGCCTTAAAAAGCTGAGGAGTCAAACCCAAGGACAAGTCTGTCAGTGAAATCAGAGCCTAACCGTAAGTAATTAAGTCAACAGATATTTGAGCACCTGTAAGTGGCAGGCACTGCGCTAAACAGTGGGGACACTGCAGGGAGCAAGACAGGCACGTGCCTATCCTTAGATAACCACCACTTTAAGACTAGGGAACCCTGAAGGAGGAAATAGATGTGGTCAAAGGTGAGACCTAGAAGAGCCTAAAGTGCAGAAATGACAACTGCCCTGACATTCTTCACCAACTCAGCAGTTCAAATAAGATCCTGTTGAATTAGAAGTGTTCCAGGATCTGCCTCGTCACAGCCATACTGCAGGTGCAGGCTCTAAATTTCGCTTCCTAAACAGGCACCTGTTATGCTTTAATCCCTACACTGCAGTTCCCTCCTTTAGACCATCTCTAGCAAGCTGCGTATCACAGCACTCCCTATTCCTGCACCCCTATCCCACACCCAAAGCTGAGTTTTGGTAAGTTTCTTCTTCCTTTACATAACTTGCAATAAGTAGTTGAGTTTGGTGCTTGTGTCATGAGAAGTTTCATGATGGAAAGAGGAGTAGCTGATGAGGAGTCTGCATGGAGAAGTGATGGCACCACAGAGGTGGAAGGAGGATTAGAAAGCCCAGTCGTGGACCCATCTGAGAGCTGAAGAGAGAAGAATGGAGGGAAAGAAGATCACAGATTACACAGCATGGTGTTTGTAGCCAGCATGACTCTACTGCAGGGGTAAAGGGCTACACACAGGGCTGTGTTAGCCCATGATCTTGGAAGGGAAGAACTGTATTTATCTCAGGTTTGTTGTGTGGCCCTCTTCCAAAAAGTTCAGGATACATCTAATGCAAGAACTAATTCTTGCTCCTTTTGCCTTTCCCAGATACTAAGGCTCAAATTGTTTACCAGGAATCAACATCCTTGACCTGTACAAAGCATTCTGCCACCAGACCAGATTATAGTACAGAACTGCCACCTCCCTCCCTCCCCTGACAATCTGCTACCAACCCATTCTTCATTCATCTTTCTTTCTCTGAAACACCCCTTTCCTTAAGTTTCTCTAACCTTTATTCCAGCACCTAAAGCCACCCAGATTAGGGTACTTGGTGACAAACAATGAATGCCCCAGAACACAGGATTTCAAGAGAAAGCAGGCCCAAACCTCCCCACAGATGGCTCACCTTTCTTTTTCTTTTTTTTTTTTTTAAAGAAACAAGAGTCTCACTTTGTTGCCCTTGGTTGAGTGCCATGGGCACTTGGGCTTAGGTGATTCTCTTGCCTCAGCCCCCCAAAGTAGCTGGGACTACAGGTACCAGCCACAATTCCCAGCTATTTTTTATTGTTGTTGCAGTTTGGCTGAGGCCGGGCTTGAACCCGCCACCCTCAGTGTATGGGGCTGGCACCCTACCCGCTGAGCTACAGGCACCACCCAATGGCTCACCTTTTTCAGGCAAATATGCCCCCAATGGTAGAAGCTAAGATGATCGCAAGGATAATACAGCAGATCATGATCATGATCTTCTTCTGCTCATGCAGATGAAGAAAGAAAGAACATGTGAGAAATGTGACAGAACAGACTCCATGGGAAGGGAGACAGAACATGTGGGCATGGAAAGAAGTACAAAGGACTAGGGGACCAGGAGGACAAGGGAGATGGATCTGGCTTCAGGAACCCAGAATGTTCACAGTTGTTACTTCCAGGTGAGAGATTTAAAAGTTAGGACAGGACTCAGAATACTAAGCATGGGGTTCCGCCGTGTAGATAATGGCACAGCAGACCTTCCTCATTCCTCCTTGCGCCAGATACTGTCAATGAGTGAACCAGATTCTCACAGGGGTAAACCTCAACTCTGAACCCAAATACAGTTACATTGAATTCTTTGGCAGTTAAGCCATTTTCAAAAATTTGAGCTTTTGAACCACCTTTCTGGTCCAGCACATGGTTTACAAAGAGTTTTAACCTTATTCTACTAAAACCCGAACAAAAGTCACCATATGGTGGCACCAAGTCACTAAGTGTTTTGCCTGGAGATAGAGCCGGAGCAGTTTCAAAATCAATATAAAGTCATTTATTTTTAAATTAGCAATAAAATTATCAAGATTACATTTTTTAAAAAAGTACAAACAACAACAAAACTTTCACATTCTGTATTCCAAGCTATAAGCTTCAGGCCTCAATCTCAGAGGACAGCAAAGGCCTGTGATTAGTTTGTCTCCCCGACTGAGAAGCCAGTCCACCGACAGACGTCATAGCCAAGGACAAAAGGACATTCCCTGGGCTCTGAGTGCCGGATGAGGACTGTGAATGAGTAGCCTTTGCAAAGGAAGCTAATGGACAGTGCCTGGACTAGGGTGCTCACCCTATTCTAGAAAGCATTAAAGTTGAAGCTGAACTATACCCGGTACCCAAATTCAGGGAGACTGGCACAGACCAGCAGGGAATCTCAGGGGCCTTCCACTGGGTTAGCAGTCACAGCAGCTTTAATATTTCCTGGCCATTGCTTCCTCCATGATAAGAATCGAGGGAGACAAAGACCCTGCCAAGCTCATTAACCAGGAAACAGGAAGAGATACTCTCTAGTCCTGGGTGTTCCCCAACTGACTCAGTCCTGAAGATAGGACATCCCATCAGTCATGTGGATAATATCAACTTGCTGTGGCGTGTGGCCAGAACAAGTCTAGCATAGGCAACGGGGTAGGGAGAGGTGTTAAAACTGGCTGTCTGCTAAGCATAAAAACTTAATGAGGATCACTTTAGTCCTCCAAAGATCTTATTTGATTCTCCCAGTACTCATCCAGAAAACAAGTTTCTTGATAATATGGGAAGATTACATTTCTGCAATAATTTATTTGCAGGTAAGTGAATATCCCTTACCTAATTTTTAGCCTAGCTCAAAGTAACTTTTTAGAGGTCATAATGTCTTCTGATTTTATTTTCTACTTCCTGAGAGACACATGTATATATGTACATACATCTCAACAATTATAAAAATATATCTGGAATACATGAATGACTGGATACTCAATACCAGTCTCATGAAACATTTCCAGAGCCTCTGAGACTCTGGCACCTTGTCCCTGACCCAATTTAAAATCCCCATTTTTGGCCTCACGGCATTGGCTTCACAAAGTATCATTCATTAGCAATGAACAGCTAGTTTCCAAAACTCAGACATGGAAACAGATAGTCCATACCCTCAGCCTTTGCAAATGGTAGCCCTTAGATGATGGCTGTATCATCATGGTCCCTCCTTGAGTAAACATGAGAGAGAACACAACATAGAAAAAAATCAAAGTTGGCCCCCAAGCTAAACATATTAAGAGCTTAATTTAAGGTTGAATTTCAAATAAGTCAGCTTCTCAGACCAAAATGACATCTGTCAACCCCTCATGTTTTTAGGACATGGGAACAACAAGCTGAGGATTGGCATCCTGCCAGGTAAAAGACGCAGATCCAAGCTTTATCCCTCTGCTTTGTTAAAGATGGTCCCCCTACACACACAAAATACACTGCAAATTTCTAGGAGAAAAAACTCCATGAGGTAGAAAACATAGCACCTTGAGAGGGTCTCAGATGGGCTTTCCAAGGTGCGAGGCATAATTTGGAGGAGGAAAGAGAAGCTGGGTTGGTTCACAAGGTTCAGGAGGGAAGGAACTTCAGAGCTGGTGAGGCAGGAGAAGGTTCTGAGGAGAACTCAGGGTTGCACTAGGTAGGTTAGATTCCTCCAGGGCTAGATTGCTGAGTCAGGTCCAAGGATGGTTACAAGGAAACAAAGGAACAGGTCCAACACGCTCTCAGGAAGGCCATTCATACTCCGTTCCCATCTGAAGACAAGGGTGGCCACACCAGGCTGGAGTGAAATCCGGTTCTAGGAGAGGCAGGGAAAGGAGCAGCTGATCAGTGAAGGGCAACAGGTGGATCAGCCACAAACCCAGAAGGTGGAGAGAAAAATCAGAAATAGCTGCAAAAGGGAGAACAGTGCAAAAGTCAACACTAAATCTGAAGAACCCAAGACAAGACCTGGAATTAAAAATCACACTGGACAAAAAACAAAAACCCCTGAGAGGGAAAAAAAAACCCAGAAAAGTCTCTAGGCTTCTTATAAGCCTTCATACAGGCTATCCACACCCACGGAAGGACTTGGTGGTGGTGGGAGACATCACTGAAAACCCCTGTTCTCTGCAGGAGCCCCCAGCAGGGGCTCTCTGGAATACAAGCTTGCGTGTGGGGCACCATGACTTTGCAAAATATTTTTAATCCAACGATATGGAAAGAGAATAACTATTATGCCTCTTTTTAAACTTTAATATCGTTCTCAATGAGGTAGTTAAGAGAACAAAATTCAAACTTCACAAAAAAAAAAAAGAAGAAGAAGAAGAAGAAAGCAAGGACTAGACACCAAATGTCCAAAAAAAAGTAGGTCGGGGGAACTGCTTGTGAGAGGCTGATCATATCCTTGCTGCTTATCTCTCAAGATGAGCTGAATGTTGAGTGCTAAAATAATCTGACTTTCAGACCCTCTAGTCAAGTGGAAGGAGGAGGAAGGAAGAGATACATGGAAGCAAAAATAAAATGTAGACTCAGCTGTGGGAAGCAACGTGATAGTTTGTATCAAGTATTAACAAACATCCACACCTATTACCTGAGCAATCTAACTTCCATGAATTTATAGTGTAATAAATAGAAACTAAAAATGAGAAAAATTAGATAATATTAGTTACAGAGATATAGCACAATCATAACATAAACCCTCTACATTTAGGAAACGTTAAATATTTGAGAATATACACATAATCTTGTGCTGAAAATTAGACCTACTAAGAGATTTCAGTGATGTGGAATGATGCTTATGATTTTGTAACAGTGTACAAAATATATGTAAAACTATGAGAATAAACATCCCCCAAGGTTATCAGTAATATAAAAAATTAATTGAATTTGTTTTTTAAATTTTTTTAATAATATGTGCTATATTGTATTTTAAAAAATGTTTTAAAAGTCACAAAAGTCTTAATACTCCCAATAACTAGACCATTCCTGAAATGCTAACTGCTGTTAGATCTGATTCAGTGGCCAGCTCTATCCTTTTTAACAAATATTAAAGAAATTAGTACCCTAAATTTTAAAAAGCACTGTCCTCTAAGATTCTTGTAGACCATGATAAATGGTTATCTTGTTTCACAAAGAGAAACTAAGATGTAGTAAGAATTCTCCTAGGTCTATTATTAGCTATGTGCACTTGAGTCTGTTACTTAACTTCTCTTCAAGACTGAGTTTGTCTGTAAAATGTGCATGATACTACTATAATACCTATCTCCTAAGGGTGTTGTGAGGATTCAATGATGTAAGGTGTAAAGTACAACTCCACACTCAAAAATGTTGGGTACTACATCTATCAAGATCCAACCAGTCAGCCACAAACAAAACCCCATAGCCAAATCCCAATTCAGAGCTTCATTTACATTTCAAAGGATACCCAAAGCAAAGCCCAGCATCCAGAAAAACCAGTAAGAATTCAGAAGACAGAGATCAAACCCAATTTAGGAGCATGCTTCCTGGGAAAGGGGAGGCAGGTGCGCCAAGGTGATAAGAAACACGAGACAGAGCAGGGCCAAGATCTATAGGGTGGAAACACACAGGAGACCTGGCCATGGGCTGCAGCCAGAACCCAAGAAAGAATCCACAGGCTACTGAGTTTTGGAAAGCTCAGTGTGTCCAAGGACAGTCATAAGGAGAAAGATGTGGAATTTGAAATCCCAAGCTAACTTCCTCTCAAGGAGCCAATCCAGAGTCCCCGAGAGAGAGCTGATTATTCATTTACTTACATGTCAGTGCAGCAGCCTCTCAGGCCACTCTTATTTCAGCCCCACAGAAAGTCCAATAATCAACGCTAAAATGCCCAGCAACACACCTACTGCCACAATGATAATTATAAATTTCTGGAGAGAGGAATAAGACAAACAAAAACATCATTATTATGAACAACCAAAAAAAATAACAACTCAGTCAAAACTCAACACCTCTCACCTCTACAGAGAAAACATCTAATAGATCCAAATAAGAAACCTACACCACTATGTAAAGACATTCTTTTAGGATCATTTACATTTCTTCAATTGCTCTGTGGCTACTAATGCCAGTAGATGGAAATACAGAGTTTCTGCCTGCTGTCAGCTCACAGTGCAGTTTTGCTACGTGGGCAGATACATAATAATTATGAGCCACCATCACGGGGTCGCTAAGCATAACTGGCCAGAATATAAAGTGACTGATTTTTCCTTTTTTAGGAAGGAGGGTAAAGACATTTTTTATATAGTCCTAATTTCTAACTCTGTCCATCCATCCCCTAAAGTACATTCCTACCAGTCAGACCCATTATACACAGACTGGGTGTCAGAAACTATGATCCAAATTTATAATGTAAAATAACTTCCCAGCCCCCGAAATCCCTGCAGCAGCAATTGGTAAAGCTGGAAGAAAAAGAATGAAGAACAAAAGTATCAAAGTCCAAGAGGAATGGTCAAAGAAGAAGTCTGAACAGCAGAAGCCACCAGAGCTAGATACGAAGCCAGCGCACACAGAAGCTTGCAAGTCCCCAAGCAGCAGGGACACCAACGGGGTAGACAAATACAGTAGTGTGGTGCAAAGAGCATGATCAGATCTGGATTTGGTACGTACAAGGTGGCCTCACGACACCCCTGACCCTCAACTGCTTCAGGCAGGAAGCAGAAGTATAGGTGCCCCATAAGATAAGAGATAACATGTTAGCAGTTAGCTTGGCACTAGGTACAAGACAGAGAAAAAGAGTAGAGGGCAGAGCTGAGGCTCCTGGACTGGGAGACAGCAAAGGTTTCTGAAGAAGAGAGGAGTCAAGCATGACACCTGAAAGGTCCATGAGCTACAACACTCAGGTCGTGCACCTGCTCTGCAGAACTGCCTTTCATGTGTGGGTCCTGGCGGAGAAAGCATGAGAGCCAGATCCATGCAAGGCACATCTGGGAAGGAAGGGTGGGCAGCTGGTCTCTAGGAAAGGCTGAACTACAGGGAGGGAAGGCATGGGCTCAAGGATACATGTGGGGATGGCCAGGGAGAGAAGACTTTAACAAGACCGGTGGAGACTGAGGTGCTCACCCTGCGGGCTTCACTCTGATACTTGACAGCCTTTTTGGTGTCTGCCACAGCCCGCTCCACAAAGCCCACTGACTGGTCCATGTTGTTCTCTATACGGTCAATCATGGCTCCCTTTCCCCAGATGCAAGAGGCAGCAGCAGCGGAAACACAGGGAGAGGGGAAGAGAGAAAGAGCAAGAGACAGCAAACAGAATGGACTCTGTTCTCCGGAGGTGGCAAACAGGAGAGCCTCACCTTCCGGGCCTGGCTCTGGTATTTCACAGCTTTTTTAGTTTCATCTCGCGCCTTCTCCACGTGGTCCACTGTGTGCATGACATTCAGCTCTATGTTATCTAACATCTCACCCTGCAAAGAACGGACACCGGTCACGCCCAATTAGCCCACCTCAGAACTGCCCTGGCTAACGTGAGGGAGGGATGTGCTTTCTTATCATCTCCAGTACCAACAGCAGCATCCAGACACCTCACAGCACAGCCTCCCTGTAGGGCACATTTTCTATTTTGTACGCTTTTTCGTCTGGCTCTCCAGTGCTTGTTGGGCGGGGCAGCCACTGTCTGTGACCAGCATTCTGCAAGGCATCTGGAACGTCCTTCTGAGAAGGCCTGGTTGCGCCATGCTCCATATAGATATACTCTGAGGTAACCCCTTCCCACTTTTTTTTTAAAAAAACTTAAGCCCAAGGGGAGGAACAAAATAAGAAGTCACGTTCTTAGGACATCATCAGGATGCTGGCCAATTCCTGGTGTTTTTGACCAAACTGAGAATGTTCTCTAACCACAGAATAGCACCTGGCACACGGTAGGCACTCAATAGTTATCTGCGGAACATTTGTTTTTTCTATGACACACGCCCAGGGCCTTTGGCAATTTGGTTGTACCTTCCCCTCCAGGCAGTGGTCTCTTAACATGATTTCCAACCTCACCCAGCTATTATTATTATTTTTGTTGTTGTTGTTGTTGCAGTTTGGCCAGGGCCACGCTCAAGCCCTACTCACTGAGCCACAGGCGCCATACCCCAGCTTTTATTTTTGACAAGGAAGTCTGGTCATTCCAATTCATTGTAGGCATCTTAGAATGGGATTCTCCTCCCCTACCCAGACCTTCCTCAACCCAACCCCATCACTTTTTATGCCAGCCTGTAATTAAAGCAAGGAACTTACCACCACTTGAATCTCAAAACAGTTCCTCGGCAAGGCAGTAGGGGGGAAAAAAAGAAGAGCAGGGATGGAGGGACTTGAGAAATGGTCTCAGAGGCCAGTAAGAGTTAAGGGTAAGGCACCCAGGCCCTGAGCAGGGAACTGATGTCAAAAGCCATTTATGCTGTGTCCAGGCTTCAGCTAGGTTCGACAGTCCACCACAGGAGCAGTTTCCATCTGAACTTTCAGGTGACAGAGCAACCAAATTTCATAGGAAGGGAGTTATGGCTCATTTAAAAGCATCGTAAAAACTGGGACACCCGAATGCAACGCCAACACCCTTGGCAGGCAATAGAGAACTCCACCGGGTAGGAAGCATGCCCTGGACAAAGAGAGCTGTCAGACCAGCACCAGGGGTTTCTGTAAACTGTCTTATTCTTCTTTCATTAATAGTGTTGTCTGCTCTGTTCCTTAGCAGAAAGTGCCAAAATGTTTTTAAAAATACATACAGGGAAAAAAAAACGGGAAAAAGAACTGCTAAAAACTGAACAGTTTTCACTGTTCACTGGATAAAAAAATCATATGTTTTCAATGACATCAGGAGAGTCTATAGAGTCTAAGAGTCTATATCAGGAGAGTGTTTTAAAGCATCATCATTAAGAACCTGTATCTCTAATAAAGAAAAAAAAGACGGATACTGAGGCTGGGGAACTAGGTATTGGACAGAGCACATGGAACCCTTTAGAAACAACTGTGAGGCCAAAGGAACAGGTGAGGATGGCAAGACTGCACTGACCAAGTGTCAGTATTTGATAAGAAGGCACCTCTCCCTGGGATCCTGGAATCCTATTATTCCTAATGCAAATTCCCAGTGGTTTTTCTACCCTCCTCTCCTCACCCTGGTTCTATATTCCCAACCTCCCTGTTCTCAGGAGAATCTGAGCTTTTCTCTCCTCCCTCCCACACTGGGAACCCCTGCCTGTTACCTGATTCTCCACCAGCATGGCGATGTCCATGAACATATCATGAAGCTCCTTGATGCTGCTCTCCAGCCTTACGATGTCCTTGTGCCGTCCCTCAATCTCACTAAGGGCTTGCTTGGATATCTGGGAGTCAATGATCTACAACAGGCCACCCAAAGACCATCAGCCACCCTTGTAAGAAAGGCTGGCCCTGCCACAGCCCTGGCACACCGCCCTGGCCAGCCCCTGGGCTCCCCCACCGCCCTGCTCCTGCATCTCACCCTGTACCTGCTGTACCCTGCCACTCATGAGAGGCCGTGTTGTCCAGCACCACAGCACTCACCCCCGAGGTGAAGATGGCAGGGTTGCCACTCTCCAGCATCTCCTCCAGCTCCTCATCTGTTGTCTTCTTGCCGGCTTTACAACAAAAGAAGCAGAGCATCAAATACAAGACCAAAGTGCAACACCACTTGAAAAGTTCCCTGGAAGCCAGGAATACGGTGAGTTCACTACAAACCCATGGGCTTTACAACACTCCCCTGATTGCCTCCTGACTTGTCTTCTTGTTTCTTCCTGAAGCACGTATCTGTCTGGGTTACTTCCCAGCCCAGAATATTACTAGCCCCATTACATTCACTACACTGTGGAGTTCAAGGCCCTCAGAACAACATGCCAGTTTGTGGGCAAGCCCTCCCTCACTCACTCCATCCTAACCTTAATGCTACTCCAAATATTCCCTCTCCCAGGCCCTCGATGGCCTGCCACTCCTGAACATGCTTGCTCACACAGTTCTTCCCGCCAGAAGCCTATCCCACCCTGCAGGCCTGGCCTTCCACTTTACTAAATTCCTACAGGGTGTGGCTTTATCAATTTTGACATTCCTTGCAGCAACTAGCATTCCTTTTATTTCATAAATGTGCTTTGCTGTCAAACAGCAAAAAGATGCAGTGAGTCCCCAGGGGAGCAACTGGCTGTCCACTGCTTCCCCTCTAAGTATGAGGAAATGCTGGATCCCATAGCAAAAAATCACTTGGTCCTGACTGAGATGCAGCACGCAGGATATGCCAGCACTGTAACATCTGCCCTAGGCTTGGGCACAAAATATGATGTGGAGGCCACAAGTGTGGTTGCTGCCCATTCCCCTTGGGCTCACAACTTGGGATGGACAAGTGAGCGACTCGCCAAACCTCAAGCACATACTAATTTCGAGCTGCCGCTGGATGCGCCCCTTGCTGCGTTCACGGAAGTCCACCTGAGCTTCGTTGTATTTGGTCATCACCTCCACAAACTTCCGGGAGAGGACAGAGTGCTGTGGGGACGATGTAAAATGCAGTGAGCTCCCAGGAGGTGAGGGAGGGGCGGCCCCTTCCCCACCCCACATAGCTGTCTACTGCAGCACTGGGCTTAGAGCCAGAAGACCAGGGAGCAGACCCAAGTTTTTGGTTTCCTAGCTCTGCACCACTGTGAGAGTTCCCTGCCCTCCCCAAACCATGGCTTCAGTGTCCATTCACCTGCCCTGCTGACCTCACGTGGTAATTGTGAGGCTAAAGGAGATTATTTCTGTGAATCTCTGAGTCCTGTACCCACATGGACTAGAAGCCTTTTCCTGGCACAACTCTGGGCTTGCTTTCTACAGCTGCCAGCCTCCCTTCCCACACATAACACTTGCCAGAGATACCTCAGTTCCCACCATACCTGACCACCCCCATTCTTTCTGCTTATATGTAAGTGCATTCTCTCAATAGCCCTGGATGCCTAAGCTCAAACCTTCACAATAACTTTTAATCTTTGCCTGTTTCTCCACATCAAGCCCTATTAGTTTATCCTTTGCAAAATCCCCAATACTCAGACTTTTTTCATGCCCACTACCACCACACAAATTCAGACCAAAATCACTGCAAAAATGTAACCACCAGCCTTCTGCCTCTTTCCCACTGTATCCAATGTTCAAGCACCTACCAAAATATGCTCTTAATATGTTGCAACCTGGAGCAAATGCCTGTGGGCTCTAGGATCAGCTCTAAATTCCCAAGGCTGGTACTCAAAGACCACTAGAATGTGACACAACATCGTTTACCAAAAATCCTGTGTCCACTATCCCACAGAAAACTTTTCTCTGCAGAAAGGCGGTTCTCCTCTTGTCTGTCCCTTACTGCCACCCATGCCATCACCATCACTGCTGCTGCCTACACATACACAAACACACACACACATACACACACGAGGAGTGCACACATCCCACTTCTATCCAGTGCCTCTCAGAGAGGGGCAAACTACTTCCTGAGCCTGCCTGTGTTTGATGTCCCCTGGCCTGACCTCCTCTGGCTGTCCCCAGTTCTTCCTGACATCTTATAATGCTGACAGCACCATGCCTTAGACCATATCTTCTTACATTGTCCTTCTCCTGGGTCTTATGTAATCGTTTCTCAAGACACTCGAAGGTCAGTTCTTTAAAGACAATGATCATATCTTGGATGACCTCTGAAAATGCCCGGCTCCCAGTTGGGCAACCAACGACTAACAATCTATAAAAAGAAGACATGCATTTCCCCTCCTGTAAAACAAGGAGGCATGCTCAATCTTAATGTGCTCTGGGAAGCCTTGAGAAGTTCTTCAGGGACCTCCCTAACTGAAGTAGAGTATGAAAGTGAGGCCAAAAAGGCTGGACTCTGGCCCTGGCCCCTGCTTCAACCCAGACAGTTCCCCTTTACCAATTCTTCACACTGAGTTCCAAATTAAGAATTGTGTTTTCTATAAGAAAGACTCCACAGATAAGTAGGAAAAAAATTAAGATCAGACTAGATGATCATTAGACCAGGAAAAACTCTACCTGGGATTTCCGAATCCGAAGATCTGCTGATGACCGGATCTCATCTTCTTCAATATGCTTCTCCATGCCTGAAGAGGAGAAGGAGGTCATGCTAGCAATACCCCTGCTGCTCCTTCCAAGAAACATACAGTTCAGTGCAAACCTGCTCACTGGGTGTCCCACACCCAGACCACAGAGATGTAACAGCAGGCAGGGACAACCTCAAAAGGTCAGCTCACAGGTGAGCCACTGCACATGCCTTCCTCAGCCTTTATAATGACCAGGTCTTGGCACAACAGTGAACAGCAATGGGTCGTGGTCACCAAGACACATAAGCTCAAATGCTTGCCCTGGCACTTTCTGGGTATGACTTTGGGAAAGCCACTTAACCTCTAGTAATGTTTCTATTCTTTCATCTGAAAACAGAATAAATACCAGTACATTCCTCACAATACTAAGGTGCAGATTCAATGAGAAAGCACACAGAGTGTTCAGCACAGCGGCAGGCACACTACCCCTGTTAGTACTGAAAGCCGCTGCTAAGGACACTTCCTTTCCTCTGGTTAAAACAACTATTGCAATCTGTTTGGGGAGAATAAATGATAACCTTGGCTGAGCAATACTGCCTCCTCCTCTGACTAACAGCATGCATTCCCCAAATACACTGGGCGACAATGCAGCCAAAGCCTTGGAACTCAGTAAACCTGTTGGTCCCCTAGGAGAATCGAATCTATGACAGTATTTTCACCAAACTATGCTTTCTAAAGTAGGGGGCTATGGGAGGGTGCCATGCCAAGCCCAGAAATGTCTGTCAACTGAACAATAATATCTTGCATTTACATATCTCTAAAATTACTATTCAAATCCACATAGTACTGGGGGAACAGAGGCAATAAAAGTTGACTAAGGGACTAGGTTAATGGAGCAAGTCACACACCTACTCAGTAGCTGAGAGCACATTCTAATGCTCAGCTTCTAACTTTGACTCTGGACTCTTTCAACTATAGTCAGAATCCAAGAAAAAATAAATTTCTGGAGCTATAGGTCAGTGGTTCTCAACCTTCCTAATGCTACGGCCCTTTAATACAGTTCCTGTGGGTCGACCCATAGGTTGAGAACCACTACTCTGTGTCCTTGTCAGGACAGTGCCCAAACCACAGCAAAGATGGAACAAGTGGTGTCACATCCATCAAGAGACATTTCAGTGCCAAAGAGTTGGACCCTTGGGAGCTGAGATAGCTGGTGGCAGGGACTGACTGGCTTGTGCCCTTTGTCCCCTCCTTACTCTTCAGTTTGTTCCGGACGTTGTTGGCCCTTTTCTTGATCTCAGTCGTGAGCTGTTCTAGGTCATCCTTGGTTTCTGGGAGAAAAGAGGCAGGCAGACTCAGTTAGCAAGGAGAGGACAAAGTGCTTTGTGAGCTACAACAATCCACAGGCACCCACTGCCCAGAGCAGCATTGATCCCCCTGCACTCTGTCATTAGACCTGTTATTAAAATCATAAAGCACTTATTTTTTTAAAAAGGCATTTTTGAGGCACCCCAGCCTAGACATACAGAATAAAAAAATACCAGAATTGGTTCCCCAGAATCGTCTTTTTCTAACCACATCCTGCATTGCCATGAGGACTTTGGTGAGAAGGCAGAAGAGGGTTCTGTGGGAATTCTGGGGCAAAAAGATTTCAACCAAGGCTGATCAGCTTAGAATGAAGCAAGTACTTACTACATACCTACTACATTCCCTGTGTTGTATGGAGCAAATCAAATGTGAGCTATGACCATTTGCTCAAAAAACCATCCTTCAGCCCCTACTACAAGGTTGGAACTAAGCTAGAAACTAAGGAATCAGAGAGAAGATAAAAGAGATTCTACCTTCGAGGTTTCAGAATCTAGTAAGGGGCAGTCCTAAGATAGCAGTCCTAATGCACTGTGTGGGGTAAAGTATGACTTCTGGTGAAGGTGTACACGGGGTGGTTTTGAAGGGCTCTCTTGCACAGCCTGGAGGGATCTGGAAAAGCTTCTAAAAACAGATAGTGGAAGAGAGTCTCAGAGAAATACTAAGAATTAACCAGATAAAAATGGAGACTAAGAGCAAGAATCACAAGGAGAAGAAACATGTAAAGGGAATGATGAAACAAGAAGGGCTTGGGGGACAGCCAGCGTCGGTCTGGCTACAGTGTGGGTAGCATGTGGGGGACGGCGGGAGGCAGGTGGCTGGGGAGGCAGGAATGGGACCAGGATGATTCCCATGTGCTCTGCTCACACATCCCCACTTTAATCCTTAGGTAACAGAAAGCAATGGAAAAAAGGAAGGAGTGGAATGATAATATGAGGCTTGCTCCCTGCTCTTAAGGAACCAAAAATGTAGCCCTAAACCCTGCTCTAAACTGTGAAACAATTAAGGGGTAAAAGTTTGCCTCTGCAGTGATAAACAGTTCAGGGATGAGGACTTCTGTGAACTTGAATTATTTCAGAATATCTCATGAGGGGAAAAATGGACTTGATCTGGAAGGATTTGGAAAGAAGGCTGGGAAAAACATGTAGGGCTGGGGAAATAGTACAAACAAAGACACAGAGATGAGAGAAGCAGCAGGAGTCACTACTGGCCAGGACAGCGACCAGCTGAGAAGCAGAGGAAGGCTGGCTAAGTAGTTCAAGTGGGACCATAAAAAGAAAAGCTGACTGTGGCCAGGCAATGGGAGCTCAGCTAAGGTTAAGGAAACAGGGAAATGCATGATGTGTACATTAGTGTGATGTAATGTGTACACGCCCCTGCGGTTCACAGAGGCCAGGGAAACAGGGCTGGCTTGGCCCCAAAGCAGTGTCATTGCAGAGTGACTCAGCTCCAAGCAAACACTCACTGGGCTCAGGAATTGGTGCAGAGAGAATGATACTGTAGAGTTTCTTGGCCTCCTCCACATGCTCTGAGATCTTGTCAATGTTGAGCCGAGTTTCCTCAATCTATAATCAGAAAGACAGTAACTTTCATCATCACAGAGGAAGAATATATTCACAGCTGAGATCTCCTTGGTGAAAGATGTGCTCCTTCTGGGTTTGTGGTCGAAGAGGAATGAGTAAACAAATGTCCTCCCCTGCCCAGTAAGTGCCCTTTCCCTGATCTAAAGAGAACAGTCATTAAAAATCCACACTCGTCTCTCCCTGAGAAGGATTCATGTGCTCAGCTTCCGAGGGAGGGAAGGTTCAGGATAGAGTTGAGAAGAGCGAGGAAATCTTGGGACGAGGCCTCAGAGGGTAGGGCCACAAAGCTCCTCAGGCAGCTTCTTTACCCCTCAAGTAAGAAGAGAATATGAGAGAGAGGGGAAGGAAAGAAGGAAAAAAGGGAAAGGAAGAGAACAAGCCTAGAGAGTGGAAAAACAAAGAGAAGAATGGAAGGAAGAGAAAGAAACAGATGAAGATGACAGAGGAGGGGGTGAGAGAGACAGACGGACACAAGGGAACGGCCATGTCAGGAGGCAGCCGGAGCTTCCTCTGGGCACATATTCTAGTAAAAGTCTTGTACCAGCTGATTCTCTCAAAAAATCAGGACCCAGGAGTTCGAGTCATGGACTATTTCTGCACATTTCTAAGGTTCCTGATTCTGATTGCACAGAGTGGGTATCATGAAACCCTTCCAGCAGCACTTCATGCCCACATAGAACACCACCCCCAGATACCACGTATAAGCCTCAAGTGTAGCCTCAGCTGCCCCTTCAAAGGCACCAGCATATGTAGAGGAGGAGATGTCAACACTTGCAGTGTCTCTCCCCCTCACTCCCAAAATGAGGGGCATGTCTACACTGCAACAATTGACAAACAGAAGTCTGGTGAAATGCCACACATCAGGAGCCTTACATCAGAGACACAGAACAATACACAACACAATCGAGTACACATGCAGCTCCCGCATCCCTCTCCTCCAGCGGGTGATTTGCCGCTTTTTGAAAACTTGATTGTAGTTCTCCAAATTAGACTGAAAGTAGGAGAAATAGAACTTGAGCTCTCTAACCCTCCAGTTGGTATTTCCACCACAGAAGCAAGGGATTTTGCCCTCCAAAAATATATTGATTGGCTTAAATGTGCCAGAGATTGAGAGTGGAATCACTTGCTTAGATGTGGAGAATAATTTTGCAATGTAACAATACCATCAGAGTATAAATATACATACAGGTAACTACCCAAATACCTGTGAAGCATCTGTAAGCAAAACAACCTATAGGACTGTATTGGTGCCATTATTCTTATTTATTTATTTGTTTGTTTTTGAGACAGAGTCTCACTCTGTGCCCTGGGTACAGTGCTGTGGCATCACAGCTCACAGCAACCTCAGTCTCTTGGGCTCAGGCAATCCTCTTGCCTCAGCCCCCTGAGTAGCTGGGTACCTGCCACAGTGCCCAAGTAGTTTTTCTCTTTTTAGCAGAGACGGGCTCTCACTCTTGCTCAGGCTGGTCTTGGAACACCCGCCTCAGCCTCTCAGAGAGCTAGGATTACAGATGTGAGCCACTGTACCCGGCTTTAATGCCATTATTCAAAGAAGGGAACTAAAATTGAAAGAAGTCGTAGGTCACATAGCCAGGGACAGGGACAGCCCTCGGTAACCTCCAGACTCCAAATGGGACACTGTTCCATTCAACCTAATACTTACTCCTTTAAATTCCCTATTCTGTTTCACTTTTAGCAGAATTCAAAGCTTACCCATCTATAAAAAGGACCTGGGTTACCGCCCAGAACCTGGCTTTTTAGGTAACTCAGATATTGTCACCTTCCCATTTGCCTCTTACATCAGCCACTGGCCCCTCTTATAACTTGTGAAATGTCATTTCATCACACCATGTTTCCTCTTCCATCACATGCCTGTCTTGCCAAAGCAACTATACTGTTTTATGGCATTGAGGAAAAAAGGCTTTCTAGAATAAAATGCACTAACCATTTACATGGACTTAGATTTTACATGTTCATTAGATCGGTTGTCTTAGAAATTCTCTTCTGAAGAGCACTCTGACCCAAAATTTGGTCAACAGTAGAAAGACCAGAGACAGGAAGTAGCTGGGACAAGACCACTGGGAAGCTTAGTCACTCCAGGCATCTGGAGACAGGACAGTAGAGGGTGATCCAGCCCCATGCATAGGAGCTGGGTCCTGGGTGCTCTATCCACAACCTGCCTATGGGCCTGTCGAGGCCCAGCGAGCCCTCCACTCACCCCCCCAAGCCACCATCCACCCACTGCAGCTGCTCTTTCCTCTGTCCCACCAAGCCCACCATTTGGAGGCATTTCAGGGACTTTGATTTCACAACAATTTAGTCAATTCACCAAATAATCACAGACCCTCTTAGGACTTCAGGATGGGCAACTGGCCAAAATCACAGAGCTTTCTTTTATGAACTCGGTGACTTTTCTTTTTCTTTTTTCTTTTAAAAGTGTTGATTTTCCTGAAAAATGACAGAATTTCTGAGTATTTCATGGTGGCAGCTTCATGTGATTCCTTTAGTGCAGTGGTTCTCAACCTTCCTAATGCCATGGCCCTTCAATACAGTTCCGGTGGGACACGACCCACAGGTTGAGAACCGCTGCTTTAGTGTACTTGCCGATAACCAAAAAGTCATGAGGAGCCTGGGGGAAGGGCAGGAAATGCTAGGAGGAAACTGACAAATGCCCTATCTAAAAGCTTAAGGGCCATTTGTATGTGAGATCAAGTACACTGATACTACTTTACACAATCTTATAGTTAAGCACTAAAATTGACTGAACATATATTTTCTTTTCTTTTTTGAGACAGAGTTCCACTATGTCACCCTCAGTACAGTGTTGTGGCATCACAGCTCACAGCCACCTCATATTCTTGGGCTTAAACAATTCACTTGCCTCAGCCTCCCAAGTAACTGGGATTACAGGCGCCTACTACCACACCCAGCTATTTTTGTGTTGTTGTTATCCTTGTTGTTTAGCAGGCCCAGGCTGGCTTTGAACCCACAAGCCCCAGTGTATATGGCTGGCACCCTAACCACTGAGCTATGGGCGCCGAGCCTTGAACATATATTTTCATCAGAAATGATGCCAGACCCTTTACGGTACTCCCGTGAGGTCATCATCATCAGCTGCTTTTTCACACATGAAAACACTAAGCTTAGAGGAAAGAGGCAGAGGAAGTTACTCCAGGCCATATTGCAACCCTATCTCTGAAACCAGGAAAACATACAAGAACCACCTATGGAAGGTTCCTCTATCAGCTCCTCCAGGTTCATGTGCATTCAGCCTACACCAGGTTACCGTGCACGTCGACAGTTTTTTGAGACTGGTTCTGTCGCCTTACTTCTTCCCCCTCTAACCACAGTTCAGCCCCCTATATGAAGAGCTCTTTACACAGAGAGCCCTCGGGAAACATGGTTGATGGAACCAACTCAAAAGTGGATTTTTGTTTGTTTTAATCATCATGTTAAATTTGAGTAAACATGTTCCCGATGCCATCTTATTTTCTGTTGCTTTCTAAAATGTATTTTCAGTGATTTGTCAACATAGGGGAATCTCCATGGTAATAGGATTTAAGAAAATAAGTTAGATCAAACCAACTGGGTTCAAATTTTGGCTCTACCCACCTCTTAGCAGTTTTATGACCTTGAATAAGCCACTTCCCTGTTCTCGTACCTGTGAAATGAGAATTATCATAATTCTCACTTTAGGGTTTTCCTAAGGATTAAATGAGATAATGCATGTCAAATGGTTAACATAAAGTGCATGCTTCATGAACATTAGATGTGACAATAATACAAAAGTAGCAATTACTGCACATTTACTATATGCCACATACTACAGCATACCTTTACAAGCGTGACTCATTAATCCTTACCCCAGTTGTAAGGTTAACAAAACACTCTGATGTCATCAGCAGCCACCCAAGGAAATCTAAGGACACCAAACTAACCACTCTTCATGGTGGGGGTTGCCAGTCATAATTACTATATTATACTAATCATCATCATCTAACCAAAAGCAAGGAGTTATTTTCAAGGCATTTACAGCTTCTTCCCTCTGGGCCTAATTATCCAGGAGAATCTTAATCAGACAATGGAAAGCAGAGAAAGTGCTGCACTAGAAAATTGGCAGGTTGTCCCAGGCTAAGGTGGAAGGCTGAGCAAAAAGCTTGGTTTATTCTCCATAAGAATTATCCTATAAACTTCCAGGTACCTTGTACCTCTAGCTGGGCATTAAATCCTGCATGCTTTTTATTGTAAACTTATGTGCCTCCCTTTCTATGGTGATAAAAATAATGGGGTTATAGCAAATAACTAATTGCCTCTTTTCACAAATTATTACACCTTTACTTTGCCCCCAAAATGGCATAACCCAAAACAGCCCTTATTAGAGCTTCTCAATCAAATCCTCTTTAATTTGTTCACTTACCTGTTCTAGAAACAAACATTGATAAGAAGGGAGGGAAAAGTCACCTCAGTCAACCACACAACAGAAGTCAGGTATATAAAGGGGCTTTTCAAGACTGGGACTAGTGGTTCAATTCTCCATTTACAAACTAAAAAAAATATTTTAGAATTGCATTCACCAGCTGAGGCTTCAAGACTGGTTGCCCCTTGCAGTTCCCCCAGCTAGGTGCCCCCATCCCACCCCACCCCACAAGGCTCTGCAACAATCTGTCTCTTCTCACCTCTCTCAGTCCGGACTCAGCCTTTGCAAGGGCTGGGACCATGTGCTGCTCATCTTTTAGCACCCGATAACCATCACTGTGTCAAGCACCTGGGGTCACTCAGTAGGCATTTGTTGAATGAATAAATGATACAAGTAACTTGGGAGACAAGTGCACTTCATTTATCACTGCAAATAGTCTCAGTTTGTTCTTCTAAGCACGCCTGCTATGGGCTGAACATCTGTGTTCTCACACAAATTCATATGTTGATGCCTAATCCTCCCTGTGATGGTACTTGGAGATGGGGCCCTTAGAATCCAATTAGCT